GCATGTAGGTGAGTGCACCCATGTCGTGCAATGCCCATGGAGGGCAGAAGAGGCTCTCAGATCCCCTGGAACTGGAGTTAGGGACAGTTATCTGCCATGTGGGTGCTGGGATTCGAACCCGGGTCCTCTGCAAGAACAGTCAATGTTCTTAACCGCGGAGCCATCTCTCCAGCCCCCTTATTATTTTTATTTTATGTGTAGAAGTACATTGTCTGCATGTGTGTAAGTGCACCCGTGTCATGCAGTGTCTGCAGAGGTCAGAAGAGGGTGTCAGATCCCCTGAACTGGAGTTAGAGACGGTTGTTTGCCGCCATGTGGGTGCTAGGTATCAAACCTGGGTCCACTGGAAGAGCAGTCAGTGTTCTTAACCACTGAGCCATCTCTCCAGCCCCCAGGCAAATTTTTTTTTTTAAATGAGAGGAACTGAGCAGGTAAAATGGCTCAGTGGGTAAAGGAGCCTGCTGTTGAGCCTGACAATCTGAGTTCAATGCCTGGGATCCACTCTGTAGAAAGAGCAAACTGGCTCCTGTAAGTGGTCTGTCCTCTGATCTTTGCATAAATAAAAATGTAATAAAATGTTTGTTGTTTTTTGAGAAAGGATCTCCCTATTGCTACAGCTGGCCTGGAACTCTCTATGTAGATCAGGCTGGCCTGGATCTCACAGAGCTCTGTCTATCTCTACTTTCTGAGAGCTGGGATTAAAGGCATGCACCTCATGCCTGGCATAATAAAAATTCTTTAAAAAGCAAAAATAAAATAAAATTAGATCATAGTGATGCTGCACAACTCTGGTAATATACCAACACCACTCAATTGTACACATTTCTTGGCAGGAGAGTCATATTTCAATAAACATATTTAAAATATTTCTAAAGTGGCAGGATGGGACCCACACTAGGCCTGAGGAACATCTTCAGGACAGCCCAGAGCTCTTGGGTGGCTGACACAGAAGGGTGGCTGACAAAATTCATATCATGTGTGCCTGAAAAGTAGAAATGGAAATGAATACCCCTAGGCAGGCTTAGAGTTTAGCCTAGCCACCTACCTGGGCTGTTCCTCCACAGTCTTCTGTGGGCCTAAGCAGGTGACTGGAGTAGAACAGCCTCCACCTGGGGTGGGTGTGGCCTGAGCTCATCCTGGACCCTGTCTGCTGGGGCACACAGCCTGGCTGAAGAGCCAACTCCCAAAGGGACAGCACAGTGACATAAAGCATGAGGCCCAGGCGAGCGTGGTGGTGGCTTAAGTGTGTGATTCCTCCCAAGTAATGGAATTACAGGTACATAACAAGCCTGTGAAGCAGGAGTAGCAGGTGTATGAGGCCTGCCTAGGCTACAAAGTGAGTTCATGGCCTACATGTGCAACTTAGTGAGACCTGTCTCAAATAGTAAGAAAGTCGGGGGTATAACTCAGTGGGAGGGTGCAAGTATGCACAAGACCCCGCATGCAACCCCCTATACTCCCCCCCCCCAAAAAGAGACCCTAACAGAACACACTGGGCCAAAAAGGGGAAGTTCCTACCTCCCTGGGCAATTCGAAGAATCCCAAAGGGGCACTCAGGAGCCAGAGGCAGGCAGATCTCTGTGAGATCAAGGCCAGCATGGTCTATACAGGAAGTTTCAGGCCAGTCAGTGCTACATAGTGAGACCCTATCTCAACCTCCCCCACTCTCCAAAAAAAGAATCCCAAAGGGAATTTTTTTGTTGTTTGTACATGTGCCTGTTTATATATGTTCATGTGTGTGCATGCATGTGGAAGCCAGAGGTCATACTGGGTATCTTTCTCAATCATTCTCTGCCTATTTTCTCCCACTGAACCTGAAGTTCCCCACACCTCTGCAATTTAGCTAGACTGGTTGACCAGAAGATCCCAGGAATCCTCCAGTGCCTCACCAGCACTGGGATTGTAGGTGTGTTTTGTTTTGTTTAAATAATACATATATAGGGTCTCACTATGTAGTCTGGCTTGAAACATGCTATGTAGACCAGGCAGGCCTTTACCTCAGATTCCTTTGCCTCCTGAGTGCTAGGATTAAAGGTGTACACCACCACACTGGGCTAGGCGTGGCTTTTTCCATGGTTGCTGGGGGTCAAACTCAGATACTCATGTTTGCTCCTCAAGCCCAAACCATTTCCCTGGTACTCATTTTTTTTTTCTTTTTTAAATGATAGGGCCTTGCTGTGTAGCCTGGCTGGCCTAGTACTTGTTATGCAGCCCACATTAACCTCAAACTCACAGTAATTCTCCTGCCTCAGCCTCCCAAGTGATGGAATTACAGGCACATACAAGCCTGACTCCTGAAGTGACATGTAAGATGTATTTTTCTGGTGAAAGGTGTTGGACAGGGAGTAATAGGCAGATAGCAGCCCACACAAGGCAGTGCAGAAAAATAAACAGGCTCACAAAGTTCAAACAAGAGGGTTGGGTGGGCTCAGCTGGGAGAGCAGGAATTTCATTCCTCAAGCAGACCAGGCTGGACTGCTGCGAAGGTCTCCAGGAAGGAAGGGGAGGAGATGGGGGAGAGTAGCCCTTGAGAGGCACTGCCCAGAAAGCCCCAGGATTGCCATGCACAGGCTGGGAAAGAGGGGGTGGACAAGGGGGCCCCAGTGAGGAAAGCCCTCAAGACTCAGACGAGGGCTGCGAAATGATTTTTACCAGACATGGCAGGAAGATTGATGGCCTGCTACTAGGCTCAGCCTGGGCTCCTAGGTTTGATCCAGGGGTCTAATGAAATACTTGGGCTTGGAAAAGCAGATGGTTGCAATAACTTGGTTAGGAGAGAACTGTGTGTCCCGTGGAGCCTGAGGCAGGCAATTGGGAAGCTGGAGTAGAGGCAGAGTGAGACCCGGCTCAGGGCCCAAGAGAGGCCACATGTCCTGAGGCTTCAGCCACTCCTAGGCTGAGGCTGAGGCAGCTTGTGGGACGAAGCCCACCCTGACTGGGACACGGTTCGGATTCTGCAGCACTCACTCCTCCAGTTGGTGCAAACCTCTGGGAGTGGGATGTAGCATTCACTTTTGAGCACCTGCCAGGAGTGCAGGAAAGACAGAAGCACATGGAACTGCAGAGCCCAGAGGAGAGCCCCACCCTAGCGTGGACCCCCAGAAGACTTCCTGGAAAGTTGTGCCTGAGGTCCGTCCTTAAGTATGAGTTCAGAAGGCACACAGAGAAAGGCCTGGCAGAACAGGAGCACAGGCTGCTGACTCCAGGGGCTTCTGATGGTAGAGGATTCCCTCAGGAATCGGGAGGTAGAAGTGGTGGGTCAGCCAGGAAGGCTCTAGGTCTCATCTTGGAGAACGGACTACCTCCTCAGGACAATGGAGCCATTGCTCTAGTTTTGAAACCAGAGTGACTTGATGAGGTTTCAAGAGCTCTACCAACACTACTTTCCATGTGGTGGAAGAATCAAGAGACTAGGGCCTAGGGAGTGGTCAGGAGGCTGGTGAAAATCCAGAGCTGAAGACATCCAAGACAAGGTCAGTTGAGGGAGATGCAGACAGCCACTTAGGAGGGACAATTGTCAGGCCTTGGTGATGGTTGGAGGATGAAGAAGAGTGATCTCAGATGACACTTCTTACTTGAGCCCTGACATGGCCATGGAGACAACTGAGGGGTCAGATTTAGGGGTCACGAGCTGGGTTGAAACACATTAGGCTGAGGGACCTAGGTGGCTTGGTGGGGTATCCACAGACAAATGACATGCTGAGTAGCTGTCATATTTTAGTTCTTGTGCTTGACCCTAGAATTTATGTCTCATTGGCTTTAGTTTGAAGATGGAGAAACAGACCAGAAAGATTAACTTGCCCAAGATCATAGAGCTGGGGTTGTAGCTCAGGTTTGTCTGATTTGGTTGCATTCATCAGAGAGATAGGGGAATGTGGACTTCAATGTGCCAAGGTATCCCCCTGCACCCTGTGCCTGCCCGTATGCCTCTACCTTGACAGGGCTGCCTGATCCCAGGAGAGCAGGCTAAGGGACCAGGTATGGCCCTGTTCACTAGCCCCTCCTCTTGCCTAGGGCTGGCAGGGACAGCATCATCTATCAACCTTGAGGTGTGGATCTGGGGACATAAATACCAATTAACTACCCTGAGGTTTCCTATTAATGAACATTGCTTCCTCAGGCCTGAAGCAGGGCTCATTTGTGGGCTGCTGGTTGCAAGATGGCCTGAAGCCAGAGGGACAGGCTAAGCACTGGTTTAAGAGGCTGAGACTGATTTACTGAAGCACCTGATTATTGGCAAGGTAAGTGGTCTGTGTAAGGCTGAAGATGGAGCAGGAGGATGGTGTGGGGCGAGGGTACTAGGACACAATGGATGGGGTACCTGTGAGTACTCTGAAGCTCCCTCAGCAACCCTGGCCTAGGTGTCTGGTGGCCTGATGGGACCACTCAGAGAAACAGTGTAGCACAGGGGAAGGAGTGGGTTTGGAAGCCATTAGGTCAGGTTTAATCTCAGTAGCTGAGCTTCACAGCAGTGAGGTCTCTGAGTCAGAACTGAGCTGTTTTAGCTTGGCTTCCTCCAAGGCACCTCCAAGAGACCCTCTGCAGCCAAGTCCACTTCCCTTTCTAGCCATCTTCTCACCTGTGGGCCCCTCTGAAGACCAGCCAGGACTACTTCGGATCCTGCCCAGCCCCATCACCTCTGATCATCTTGTCTTTCCCCAGGTGACCATGCGCACACCTAGTCCACTGAGCATACTATTTGTGAGCTTGACAAGGGAAGGTCAGAGCCTCCCTGCTTTTGAGAACGGTCCCTGGTCATAGAGACAGAGGCATCCACTCAGTACAGCTCATCCTACCAACTGATTCCTGGGAGGACTGGTGACAATAGGCTTAAACCTGCAAGGAGAATGCTAGACCCGAACCTAACACTTTGTTGTCTGACCTAAACAAGTTTTGTTCCCTCTAAGCCTCAATTTCCTGCAACCATAGAATAGGGGAGCTGATGTATATAAAGTGACAACATAATATTTTTATCACAGACACTAAATCAAAGGGCTAGCCATAGCACCTGCTGGCACACAGTAGGTCCTTAACAAACACTATCACCCTGTTAGGGAATGGCTGGGGGGGGGGGGAGCACTGGTTTCAGGCATAGTAGAAACAGCTTGAGTTTAGGGTGGATCTAGGTTTCAGCCCTAGCTTCCTGGGTGGGGGATCCTGGGAAACCTGTTTCCTCAGTTGAGGGCAGCAGCAGAAGCAAGGCCCACTTAGAACAAGCTAACCAGAGGAAGTGCTCACTGAAGATTGTTCATGTGAGGAAGAGAGCAGCCAGACCCAGGTAAAACAAATGGCTCTTGTCCCACCCTCTGCCCACTCCAACCTCCACCACCTCATGTCAGTGGCTTCTAAGCAGATGGCCACAGAAGCAATTCCTAAGGTCAACTTTAACTGAGTTCTCTCCTGGCCCTGTCAGTCCAACACCCAGGGCCCACTTGTGTGTTTTCTGACTCACTCGTGTCTGGGGCAGACTATCTGGCTGGCTCTTCAGACTGATTTAGAGTTTCAGGAAATATCCTGGCTAGAAACTAGACAAGGCAAATTGCCTGACCACTTGGTGTTTGATGACTGACCTAGAACTCAAGCCCTCTGCTGTCTGCATAGCCATGGAGTTAACAACAGACTATGCTAGGACCAAGGGTGCTCTTGAGGCCTGGCCTGCATTGACTGTGGTACAGGATGCTATCCCTTGTGTTCCTGGAGGCGTTCTGGTTTTGGAAAATCTGGGTCACCTCAGGACAATTTGGAAGGCTCAGCACACCCCACTCTTCCAATCCAAAGCAACAGCCTGGGGTAAGGTGTCCCTGGCATGCCCAGGTAGGTCCCTAGCAGTTCCTCACCTTCCTGCTTCCAGGGCTGAATGAGAACTTTTCCTCAGGATGCCAGTGTGCACACCACACAAACTTTACCAGGTACTACTCAGTTCACATCCCTTCCCTAAGAGCTCTCCAGAAACCTTGCCTCAACTTTCTCCAGGTAGTCTAGGGTGAGGAAGCCCAATGAAGGAGGATCTTTTGAAGCAGCCCCATTCTTTCCTGCCCTGCACACTCCCACATAATGCCTAGGCTCCAGTGTAGCTGCTAGAAGAGAGTAAGTTCAAGTGCACCCCTGGGCCACAAGAAGGTAGGCTTACCAGAAGTCAGTCACTTGGGCAGAGAGGAAGAAAGGCTACCCCACCACACTTAGCGCCTCCCTTTGTTCAGCAGGGGTAGCGGCTGCCTCCTCCCCAGCCTTGGGGCTACCACAGCACCTTGGCTTCCTAGCCCTGCCAACACGGAGGACTTTGGCTGTCCTCCCCAGAGTAGTGGAGATGGGAATCCTATACTCTCCTTCTTTTTGGGTCTGGGGAGTGGCTGGATTTCAAGAGTTTAATTCAGGCTAAAATCATACCAAGCTGGGATCTGGGAACAGGCTCTCCTCTGGAAGGGGTCAGAGCTTCCCACCTGGCAAGGGAGACAATACAGCCAGACATGGTGGCACATGCCTTTAATCCCAGCACTCAGGAGACAGAGGAAGACAGATCTTTGTGAGATTAAGGCCAGCCTGGTCTCCATAGTGAGTTCCAGGCCAGCTGGGGCTATAGGGAGAAAGGGAGACCCTGCCTCAAAAAGATAGAGAGGGGGGGGGGAGAGAGAGAGAGAGAGAGAGAGAGAGAGAGAGAGAGAGAGAAAGTGGGACAGTGCCAGGCCAGACATGGACTGAGTGCCTAGAAGCCTGTGGCTGAATGCTTTTCTGGAGAGAGGCAGGCCCATTTGCACCCTATTTCCCTTAGGTAGACCCCCAACCCCTCCAGGAGTTACCGCCCATGTGTGCCCCGCCCCCAGGGCTGTGTCCTCTTTCAGGGTGGGGTTGACAACTGTTCAGCAAACCTAAAACCTTCTCTAAGATGAGTCTGAACCCGAACTACTTTCCCAATTTCCTGTTGCCATTACAAGTCACACTAAGAGAGTGGCTTAAACAACAGATTTATTCTCACAGTTCTGGGGGCTAGAACCTAAAACTGTCCTGCTGAGTTCAAATACAGCTGTCAGCAGAGCCAGTCCCTGGCTGGAGGGTCTGAGAGGGGAATCCATTTGCTGCCCTCCTCCCACTCCTGGAGGTACCTGTGCCTTCGCTCCTTGACCTTTCACATCCGCACAGCAGCAGTCTCATTTCTTCCAATGCCTACTTCCTTCCCACAAGGCTCCCTGTGATTACATCCAGCCCACCTAGATGATCCAGGATCATCTCTCCTCGATACTTTTAGTTGTATCTGTATAACCTCTTGTCGTACTATGTAAGGCCCACAGGTTCCTGGATGAGGACCTGGGCACCTGGACCACTATCTACCTCTGACAAATGGGCTACAAAACAGATCCCCCTCCCAGTATTTCAATGGCTAGGAGGGAAGGAGTTGGAGATTTCCTTGGGCGAAGCAGCGCTAGTGGCTTGAGAGCTCCTTCCCAAAGTCAGCTAATGGTAATAACCCCATGGCCTGGAAGAAATACAGACAAAGCTCTGGAGCCTGCTGGGGGCACCATGGAGGACATAGGAGGAGGCTAGGACAGTGCATATCAGCCAGAGCTGAAGTGTGGCTAGAGGTCGGCAAAATGTAGCAGGAGCTGGGGCTGTGGTCCTGGCCCATGGAGATGATGGAGACTGTCTGAGAGCAGCTCTGCCCTCAGCATCTAAGGGCAAAGTGGAGCCCCAAAGTCCCCAGGGCTCTTTCCTTGTACTCAAAGTGGAGAGCATGAGGGTGGTGACAGAGCAGGAAGGCAGGGGCCTCTCTTGCTACCTCTTCTCCATGTTCTGCATCTGCAGACTGAGGGAGGTGAAGCTGGCCAGGAGGTCGGTCACTTCATCCACCTGCAGGAAGACACCCAGGCTGTTCCAGGGGATTACAGCCCCAGGCACAGAATATATCCTCCCAAGAACATACAAAATGGTTCCCCTCTTCTAGTGTTTCTGAGGGAGGAAACAGACTGGAGATTTCTACATGGGGTTTAGCAGGGTCCTTTCTAACCTTATGTGGGCCTAGGTATCACCAACCCTCTCTCTGACTATGGGACAGCTGACTGAGGGTTCATCCTTGAAACCAGGTGACCTAGGATTGCCTTAGAGAGCAAGGCAGTGAACACACACACACACACCAGTCACCGTGGCTTTAGGGAAGTGGACAGAGGATGTGAGGACCATGGCAGGCCACAATACCACAGGCACAGCCTCTTTCTGATACAAACGTCTGGCTTCATTGGGGCCCTGCCCGAGGATCCTGCCAAGTGCTGTAGCTGCAGCTTACCTGCTCTTTGGTACTTGTCATCTGGAGGCGGGTACAGAGGTCGTCCAGCCGTTCCCTCTGTTCATGCCGTCCTAGGCGCTCCAGGTACTCCCGCAGCATGTGGATAATCTGGAAGGACAGGGTGAGCTGAGCTTCTGGCCAAGAGACAGGCACAGGCCCAACGTTGTTAGCACAGGCACAATGGAGCAGGGGCCTGGGAGTAAGTGAGATCAAGAGTCCTGGGGTAAGAGGCAGGTGGTCTGGTAAGCTCAACACCTATCCAGGGAGAGAGCTTACTTACCTGCTTCACCTCTAGCCGCACAGCCTCCAGGCACTGGGAATGGCCCTCCTGCAGGATGTTCAGCTTGGACTTGGCCAGGTGCAGGGGTGTGCGGCCAGCTCGGTCCAGGGCATCTACACGGGCCCCTGTGGGAACAGGCAAAGGGAAGCATGCTGGAGGTGAGGGCAAGAGAAGAGAGGGAAGAAGGGAAGGGCCACATACCTCCTCGAAGCAGTGTGGTGATGACAGGCACATGGTTGGTGCAGGCCGCTGAGGAAGGAGAGAGACATAATCAAGGAACATGGGGAGGGAGGAAGCAGAGCAGTGTCTGAGTGTGCCTGAGCCAAGTTACCTCCTAAGAAGAGTCACTAGAGCACCATGCGTGAGGCAGGACTCGGCAATCAAGTCCAACTTTCTCCCTGGATAGCTGGCGAAACTGAGGCCTGAAGATGGGACTTACTGTAATTTACAATGTGAGTTGACAGCAAGGCTGGGGCAGCCAAAGGGCTCATAACCCCTTTCTAGGAGAAGTGCTTTGCAGCCAGTCCAGGTTGCTGAAGGAACTACGCCAAGCACACAGCCAACTGCTGAGCAACTGAATGTTCCGTGGAACACAGTGTGGTGGGGAATGTAGGCTCAAGGCTCAGGCTCTCTGGGGATGCTGGGAGGTATCGCTGAGTATCTGAGGAACCCCAGGCTCAACATCTTAGAAGCCTACTTTGGTGGCTTTTGAGGACTTACCTAGGTGTAGTGGCGTGTTACCCAGACCATCCCTTTGGTTGGGGTCAGCCCCATGGTCCAGGAGTAGCTGCACTGGAAAGGGAAAAACCCAAGACACATGGTTAGAGGTTTCCACCAAACCTCACACCTAAGCCAGTAGAGAGGCTTGCTTGGAGTGTGGTGTGTAGATCCCAGACACAGTTCCCTGTGCTGATTTACTCATTCATTTATTCACTCATGCACTCTACAGGGTTTATATATAGGACCTGAGTGAGGATCAGGAATGAGGATTCTAGGAGGGCCTCTTAGCCTCTACAGGTACTATCTGATTGAAGAGAGCTTCAGTGAAAGCTCCTGGAGGCATTTCCTATTCCTCTTACAGTTCCACCTACAGCTAAGTTCCACATTGTGAGCCATAGATGGTGCTAGGCTCCATGAACAGTCTCCCCCTCCTCAGCAGTCCCGGACAACCTCTGTGTGGATTGTGGCATTTCCAAGGGCTTGCCAATTACCAGTAACCATAAGAAAGAAAAGAATGATAAATTGGAGCTGGGCCTGGTGGTTTCTGTAATTCCAACTGAATCAGGACTCTGAGACTGGAAGATTTCAAGTTCAAGGCCGACCTGGATTTCAAAGTGAGCTGAAGGTCAACTTGGACAACTTAGCTAGACCCTGTCACAAAATAAAAAGTGAGAAGAGGGCTGGGGATATAGATCAGTAGTAGAGCACTTGCCTAATGTGTGAGCCTGGGTTCAATCCTTAATACACAAAAAAGAGGAGAGGGGAGGGGAGGGGAGGGCAGGGGAGGGCAGAGGAGAGGAGAGGAGAGGAGAGGAGAGGAGAGGAGAGCAGAGCAGAGAAGAGAAGAGAAGAGAAGAGAAGAGAAGAGAAGAGAAGAGAAGAGCAAAGTGAAAGCCCGTCCAGATGTAGTGGTGCACACCTGTAATCTGCCCAGCACTTGGGAGGCAGAAGCAGAAGGATCGGGAATTCAAGGTGTTCCTTAGCTACGTGTCAAGTTCAAGGTCAGCCTATGCTATATAAAATCATCTTTAAAAAACAAAACAGACAGGGCTAGAGAGATGGCTCAGTGGTTAAGAACACTGGTTTTTCTTGAAGACCTGGGTTCAAATCCCAGCACCCACATGGCAGCTAACAACTGTCCATAATTCCAGTTCCAAGGAATCTGATGGCCTCTTCTGTCCTCCTCTGGCATTGCACAACAGAGGTGCACTTACCTACATGCAGGCAATACACTCATACACATAAAATAAAAATAACAAATATTTACAACAAAACAAAACAAAAACCAATGGGGCTACAGAGATGGTTCAGCAGTTAAGAGCAGTGGCTGCTTTGCCAGAGGACCTGGTTCAGTTCCTAGCAGCCACATGGTAGTTAACAACAATCTGTAACCCCAGTTCCAGGGGACCTAACACCCTCTTTTAACCCCATGGGTATTGCACATTTGTGGTGCACTTACAGACATGTATACAAAACATTCCTACACATAAAAACAAACAAACAGGAGGCTGGAGAGATGGCTCAGTCGTTAAGAGCACTTGCTGCTCTTTCAGAGGACCCAAATTTGGTTCCTAGCACCCATGTCAGTTGCTCACAACCTATAATTCCAGCTCCAGGAGATCTGGCACCCTCTTTTGGTCACTGTGGGTACCTGCACACAGGTGGCATATTCTCATACAGACACACAGACATACACATACACCCATAATAAAAATAAACCTTAGCCTGGAGTGGTGGTGCACACCTTTAATCCCTGCACTTGGGAGGCAGAGGCAAGAGCATCTCTGTGAGTTCAAGGTCAGCTTGGCCTACATAGAGTTCTAAGCCATTCAGGGCTACAAAGTGAGATGTGTCTCAAAAAACCAACAGGGGCTGGAAAGACAGCTCAGCAGTTAAGAACACTGACTGTTCTTGCAGAAGACCTGGGTTCAAATCCCAGCACCCACATGGCAGCTAATAACTGTCTGTAATTCCAATTCCAGGGAATCTGATAGCCTCTTCTGTCCTCCTCAGGAATTTCACAATACGGATGCACTTACTTACGTGCAGGCATAACACTCATATACATAAAATAAAATACTAAAAAAAGACAAAAAGCCTAATACTATATAAAAAACAAAACAAAAAAAAAACAAAAAAAAACAACCAACAATCCAGGAAAGAACTGTGGAAATGGACAGCAGGCCCCAATTTTAGTTGAAGAATTATTGGCAGCCAATTACTGCTGGGTGAGGAAGAGCTGATCTTAAAGGGAGGGACCCTAGATAGGCTGACTAGACCTCAGTGGATGAACTTGCACTGAGGGACAGCTGGGGACACTAACTCGACATGACAGGCCTTAACACAAATAACAAATAGCTTTGGGAGGGAGCCAATGAAGAAGGAGGTATAAAGATGATTACGATGTTCTATATGAAATACACAAAAATTCAATTTAAAAAATTTAAAAAAACAAAAACAAAAACAAAAACCCACAAACAGCCAGGCATAGTGGCAGACACTTTTAATCCCAGCACTGGGGAGCCAGAGGCAGGCAGATCTCTGTGAGATCAAGGCCAGCCTAATTTACACAGTGAGCTCCAGATCAGCTGGAGCTTTAAGGAGACCCTGTTTCAAAAAAAAAAAAACAAAAAACAAGGCGGGAGTGGTGGCACGCTCTTATAGACCTAGCACTTGGGAGGCAGAGGTAGGAGGATCTCTGTGAGTTCAAGGCCAGCCTGGTCACATAGTGAGTTTGAAGGCAGCTGGGACTATAGGGAGGCCCTGTCTCAAAAAGAACAAAAAAACAAAAAAACAAAAAACAAAAAAACAAGACACAGGAAGAAAAAAAAACCCTGAAGAATAAAAATCAGTGACTTTGTGAGATACTTATAATCAATAAATGATTTGTATCTAGAATGTAAAAGATTCCTACAAGTCAGTAAGAAAAAAAAAACAATTTGTTTAGAAAAATGGACAAAAAACTTGGATAATTCACAAAAGGGGATGCAAAAATGGTCAGGAAACAAAGAGGCATTCAACATCATAGGTCATCAGAGAAATGCAAATTAAACCACAAGGAGTTATAAGAAGCAACAGGCGGTATGGGCATGGATTCAAGACTCTGGAGCCACTGCTAGTGGGAGGAGGAGTGGAGACTGGCACATCCCCTTGGGTGCCTCCTATAGCTATACTTGTGTGTACCCAGGAAACTAACAATCCCAGTCCATGTTTAAGCCCACAGAGGTGTGTACTTCCAGTCACTATGCCACAGTGAGAGAATGTTCACAGTAGCTTTGTGCATGAAGCCAAACCTGGGAACAATGTAAGTGTCCATCCCCGGAAGTGGGTAAACAATGACAAACACACAGAGTGGGTAAACAGGATGACAACGCACACAGTGAGATATGAACCAGCACAAGGACAAATGACTCATCTCCACAACACTCATGGACTAACCCAGAAGTAATTTTTTTTAATAAACAGGGTTGAAAATTATATTAAAGATATTTTATGCCTGGCGTGGTGGTGCACACCTTAAATCCCAGCACTCGGGAGGCAGAGGCAGAGGCAGGTGGGCAATCTCTGTGAGTTCAAGGCCAGCCTGGTCTATATAGTGAGTTCCAGGCCAGCTAGGGCTACAGGGAGACCCTGTCTCAAAAAAGATGTTTTAATATAGGATTCAGAATGAGGGTTAGAAGAGGTGCTCAGAAGAAAGTAAGGCACACCCCACCAGGCATGGTGGTGCAAGCCTTTAATAGCACTCAGGAGACAGGCTCTCTGTGAGATTGAGGCCATTGGTCTATATAAGTGAGTTGTAGGCCAGCTGGGGCTACAGGGAGACCCTGTCTCAAGGCAACAAAACAAACAAAAGAAAGTAAGGCATAGCCAAAAGCATGGGTGCGAGCTTCTCGAAGAAGAGTTGCAGAAAGTAAGACACCCAAGTGTGGTATAGGCTCAAGGGAGTTTTTTAGGGACATAATATAATTTTGCTTTAATTTCAGAGTATGCACAAAGATGTGGATACTATGTGCTTCCATCTATGTGAAATTCAAAAGCAAGCAACCCTAGTTTGGCTGAACAAGGTCCAGATGGGCATAAGAACTGGGCTGTTGGGATGCTGGGCAGTCTACATCTTATCTGGTAATGGTTACATCACCATACACACATATACAGTTCACTGTTTGGAAGGTATACCATAACTTAAAAACACAAGTCCAGCATGCTGCCACATTTGGCACTGCCTGGATGTCTCAAGGGCCTGGCCCTGCCGCCTCCAGCTTGCTCACTGGAACCTCCCTCACCTGCTGTCATCTGGCCTAGCAGGGCTGCTTTCACAGGTCTCCCTTAGATCCCCCCTGAGGCATGCAGGCAGCAATGCCTCCTCCATTTTGTATGGAGAGATGCCACTGGTCTCAAGCATCATCTGCTCCCTCCCCAGGACTCACCAATCTGGTCATTGCCATTGCAGGAGGCAAAGTGAAGGGCTGTACGGCCCTTGTCATCAGCTGCACAGGGATCTGTGCCATCTTCCAGCAGCTGCTGCACTGACCACCAAGATGCACAGGGAGGAAGGGTGAGAAAGCAGCAGTGTTAGCTACGATACAGTTCCCAGGGGTCCCTCCAGATGAGCAGTCCATAATATACAAGATGGTCCCTCCCAGATGCTGGTCCCTCAGGGACTACTGGCACCATGAGGAATGCCATGACCATGAATTTGTCCTCCTGTGTTTAACCTATGTTTCTAGGGATAGAACATCAGAGGAGACTCTTAACCTCAGGGAGGAACTGTAGAGTCACAGAAACCCCAGGATGGGCTATGAGCCCATCTTTCTAGCTCAGCTTGGACGACACACATCCATTCCAGCAGGACGCAGCTGCCCAAGCTACTAGTTGGCACTTACTTGGGTACCAAGAGGCAGCCCTTTAGAGGGGCAGAGCACAGGCCATGGAGGCCCTACAAAGTCCCAGGCTAAGCAAAAGGGCAAGGAGTGCACTGCCATCAGCATGAGGGGTGGCAGGAGCTAGGCTGGGGTCAGGTGTGAAGGCCTGGACTTGGGCGGCAGGTCACCAGCAAACGGGCATTATCTCCACCCTGCCTATCTGCAGAGCTGCCGCAATGAGGATAATGGATGTGAAATTCCTTCTCTGCCTGTTTGGAGGCATCAGAAAGGGTGAGACATTACATACTAATGTCCATGGCCAGCGAAAGTGGGGAAAATTGCTGCCAAATGTCATTTTAGAGTTAGCAACATTTTGGTCTCTTTCCCCCAGGAAACAGCTCAAGGATCTGAGTCCTTCCAGCCATAATCCAAAGCACTTCCCCTCCACGCAGCTCTCCTCCAGCTGAGCCAGCCCCTTCCCTTCTCTGCCACACCTCTCCAGTATCCTGTTCATTCTGTTCCTTAACAGCAAGAGCCTGTACCATTCTAGTATAATCCTCATGGTACAGTGTACACTGAGTTCCAGCCAGGCATCAGCCTCTCAACAGCTAAGCAAAATGTCACAGAACCCACTTCACAGACCAGGATACTTGGGCCCAGACAGATGGCATGAGGTTCAAAGGCCACATTCACCCAGGTAAGAGAAGGCCAAGTGGGCTGCAAAGCCAGGTTCTATGCTCCAGCTGAACACACCACTGTTGTGTTTTGTGTTCTGGTTCTGGTTTTGAAATGATATCCGTTCATGGTCTTCCTCCCTGACTATATTACAGGTGTTTGGTTGTTTGGTTTTGTTAATCTTTTTTTTCAGTTTTTTTGAGACAGGGTCTCCCCATAGCCCCAGCTGGCTTGGAACTCGCTATGTAGATCAGGCTGGCCTTGAACTCAGAGATCCACCTGCCTCTGCTTCCCAAGTGCTGGGATTACAGGAGTGTGCCACCATGCCCAGCTGGTTTTGTTAATCTTCAGAGCTTGGATATCAGGCATAGTATCCTGCAAATATCTGTTCAGTTAGTAACGCTGACTGGCTAGTTGAATGTGGTAGCACACACCTATAACCACAGCACTCTGGAGGCTGAGGCAGAAGAACCATAAGTTCAATACCAGACTAAAGGACACTAGCCCTAACCCTAACCCTCTTCTCTTCCACATACTAGAGATAGTTAAAAAAGAAAGCCTAGGTAGATGGGATGGCTCAGTGGTTAAGGGTATTTGTTTGAATTTAATGATCAGACAAATACCCTGATGATCTGAATTTAATCTCCAGAACCCATATGGTAGAAAGAGAAAATGGATTCTTTTAAGTATCCTCTGACCTCCACAAGCACAATATGACATTTACTGATCCCCAATAAATAAATGTAAAAAGAAATAAAGAATGCCTATTATTTTTCACCATAAAACTAAGTTGTGACTCAAATACTCTAAAATATTAAATTTCACAGAAGAGACCAAGGTGAGTAGACAACCTTCAGTTTCCTGGCCTGCTGACTATTGTGATGACAGAGGCAGGGGACTCTCTGGAAGTAGGTCCCTGGGGTAACTGCTTCCAGCCAGCCTATACTTGCTGTAAGCTGGCTCCTGTAACCTTTCATCAATGCTCACATCTTACCTGTTGACCAGAGCATCCTACCCAAAACAGAATGATGTACATGGAAGGGAAGTAGAATAATGGTCCCCAAATTTTAGGAATTCATGTTATCTTACATGGCAAAAAAGAATTTTGCGATTTGCTCAAGGCTGAAGACTGTAAGGTGTGGGGACAATACTGAATTATGCAGGCCCAATGTAGCTGCCTGATTCCTTAAAATTACAGGACCTTTTTCCTGCTTCAAGGAACAAAGAGATGGCAAGATGAGGACTCAGCCCACCATTGCTGGCTTTGAAGATGAGAAAGAGACCTAGTACCAAGGAACCTGGGCACCTTAGAAGCTGCAAAAGGCAAAGAAACAGATTCTCCCTGAGAGTATTCAGGAAGAAATGCAGCCCTGCTGACACCTCAGTTTAGCCTGGCTAGGGAGACCTGTGTTGGACTTCTGATCTCCAGAACTATATTTATTTGTGAGTTTGTTTTTTGGGGATAGAGTAGTCCCCGCTGGCCTGGAACTATGTAGACCAGGCTGGCCTTAAATTCATGGACATGTGCCTACCTCTGCCTCCCCAGAGCAGGGATTAAAGGCATGCACCACAACGCCCGGCCAGAACTGGATAATTTGTTAAGACAGCTATAATGGTTCATCTTGATTTGTCAATTTAATGGGAGAAGCTCTTAGGAGATGAGCAAATCACATCCCAGGTTCTACTTATGAGGGTGTTCTCAGAGATTAAGGAAGTCCTACCCTGATTGTGGACAGAATTATCCCATAGGCTGGGAGCCCAGGAAGAAAGGAGAGAGCCTGAGAGCACACACATACTCACTCTGCTTTCTGTCACCATATTAGTGGCTCTGTCCTGACATGCCCACCTAGCAATGATGAACTGAAACCTATTATTTTTATCTCCCTCTGTAACCCAGGATGTTCTGGAATTTGCTATGTAGACTAAACTGGCCTTAAATTTGTGATCCAGCTGGCCGTGGTGGTGCACACCTTTAATCCCAGCACTTGGGAGGCAGAGGCAGATAGGTCTCTGTGAGTTCGAGGCCAGCCTAATCTCCATAGCAAGTTCTAGGCCAGCTGGGCTACAGGGAGACTCTGTCTCAAAAAGAACAACAACAATAAAAGTTGTGATCCAACTATTTTTGCCCCTGGACAGCTGGAATCATGGGCATACTCCACCACAACCACCTAATTTGAAAAAACTTGGGAATCATGAGCCAAAATATATCTTTCCTCCCTTCAGTGGTATTTAGTCCTAGTGACAAGAATCTGACAATAGAGCAGCCACAGTAAATTAACATACTATTTTCTCTGCATGGGAAGCATTAAGTCAGTTAAATATTTTGTTGTAGAAGCTGTCCTTGTACCTTTGATGCTATTATGGCGTCATCACTTAGCAGACACTGGAAAGCAGTAAAAGAAAGCCAGATGTGCTGTCTTCAGAGGGGCCCCACTCATGCCTCTGAGATGCTCTGTCAACAACAGGTCTGAGAACCATCTACTGAGCAGGCAGAGGTGGCAGATGGCCACCTGGCACTTGAGGTGGAGCCTTCACTCCTGGAAGCCAGAAGTTCCAAAATGGGCACTTGCTGCTTGCTGAGGATCGTGCTGGGTACCAGTGATACAAAAGCAGACATGGTGCCCAGCATCAGAAAGCCCACAGGGTGATAAGAGCTATGACACCCAGAGACAGGGTGAGAGAGGAGCATGGTGAGGGAATACCTGAGCCTGATTTGCCTTCTGTACACTGACTGCAGTATCAGGTAGTAAATTCAGTGAGCCTACTCCACAGAAATACAGGTGAGCTGGCAAGCTGTCTGCTCAGGAATGAAGTACCTACCACTTTCCTTCCCTATACTCCCTGGGTCCCACTGTGCACACTCACCTGTTTCTACATCATTGGCATTGGCAGAGTCCCTCAGCCTCTTCAGAGCTAAGGAGAGAATAAGAGAGAACAATTTTAAAAATAATGATAACGAAAGTTTCATAGCTTTCCCTAACAACCCACCCTTCAGTCATAGCAATACTGAAAGGACAAAGGTGGTGTCAAGACACTGGCCTGGGAACAAGGGGGAGCAGGAACTGGGCCACTACTAGAGGAGAGGCCATTTTCTGTAGCAAATCTGACTTCTGGAGTAGGAGCTTTTTCTGCTACTTGTGGCAGCTGGTGACCTCCAGTGGGCATTATCCACCCCGAGTCTACCTACCAGATAGAAATAAGGCTGTGCTAGGCCTAGTAGCACACACCTTTAATCTCAGTACTAAAGATCACTATGAGATTGAAGCCAGCCTGGTCCAGGACAGGGAGATCCTGTTTCAAAACCACAAAAACTAACAAAAAACCAAGGCTGAGTCATCATGTCAGTCTGAGTTGTTACAAAGAAAATTGAGACAATTTGAAAAAAAGAAAGAAAAACAATGTCATTGGCCAGGTGTGGTGCTGTGCGCCTTTAATCCCAGCACTTGTAAGGCAGGGGCAGGCCGATCTCTGTGAGTTCCAGGCCAGCCTGGTATCCATAGATTTATCGTCCTCTTTTTTTTTTTTTTTTTTTTTTTTTTAAAAAAAAAAAAAAAAAAAAAAAAAAAAGTCATGATTTGTGTAGAAGTTCTTTGTGAACTGATTACACCGATAATCCACTATTATCCATTTTTCAAAGCAGGCCATTCCTAAATGACTTTCCAAACTTGGTAATTCCTAAGCAGAATTTTTTTTTTTTTTTGAGACAGGTCTTAAATGTGGCCCTGGCTGGCCTAGAACCCCCAGAGATTTGAATGCTTCTCCCTCCCTAGTGCTGGGATTAAAATTGTGCACCACCGCAGGGCATGATGGTGCATGCCTGTAGTCCCAGCACTTGGGAAGCACAGAGCTGCCTGCCTCTGCCTTCCAAGTGCTGGGATTAAAGGTATGTGTCACCACACCCTGTGGAGCCATTTTTTCTTTAAAAAAAAAAAAAAAAAAAAAAAAAAATTGTGCACCACCATGCCCGGCCTTGTTTTCTTTTTCCTTTTTGGTAACACTACCTTTATATTAGAGTTAACAGAAAGTAATACTTTGTTGCCAGAGAAATGGTCCAAAAGAATTGCAAACCAGACATAACAATTGTATACAGCCACAGAACACATTTTTGTTTATACAGCACTTTCAAATTCTCCTTTAATCTTTACCCTTTTTTTTTTCTTTTTGGTCTTTTTGAGATAGGGTCTCCCTGTAGCCACAGCTGACCTGGATTCACTATGGAGACCAGGCTGGCCTTGAACTCACAGAGATCTGCCTGCCTCTGCTTCCCAAGTGCTGGGATCAAAGGTGTGTGCCACCATGCCCAGCTCTTTTAATCTTTATAATACCTTATAAGGCATGTGAGTCAGAGATAGTCTAAAGGGGACTTTAAGGGTCTGGAGAGATGGCTCAGCGGTTAAGAGCACTGACTGCTTTTGCAGAGGACCCGGGTTTGATTCTCACCACCCATATGGCAGCTACGAACCGTCCTTAACTCCAGTTCCAGGGGAATCTGACGCCCTCTTCTGACCTCCTCGGCATTGCATGACACAGGTGCACTCACATGCATGCAGGCGACATAGTTATACACATAAAATAAAAATATTAAATAAAAATACATATAAAGGGGACTTTAAAACACCTTATTCTTTCCCCCCACTGAGGCATTTTATTTATACTCATGTTTTACATGTGTAGGAAAGAGTCCCAGGGTTTCCATCCTGTGTTTGTGTCTTGGTTCTTCATCGTTCATGATGCCAGTTGAGGTTGTATCAGGAAATGAAACCGGTAAAATGGCAGATTATTCTGCCATTTTTCTAGGTCTCTGAGCCACACATCAAATCTGGGGCTGATCACATCATACTTTTTAACTTGCCTATGAAGTTCACGATATTCCCAGCTCTGTGATTATCAATTATTTCAATTTTTAAAATTTTAAATTATATTTTTGCTGAGAGTAGTGGCACATGCCTTTAATCCCAGGGAGGTAGAGGCAGGTGGATCTCTGTGAGTTCAAGGCCAGCCTGGTCTACATAGTGAGCTCAGGTGAGCTGGAGCTACAGGGAGACCCTATCTCAAAAAGACCAAAAAAAAATTTAATTGTTTTTTTGATTTATTTATTTTTATTTTGGGGGGGGTCTTTTTGAGACAGGGTCTCCCTGTAGCCCCAGCTGGCCTAGAACTATGTAGACCAGGCTGGCCTTGAACCCACAGAGATCCACCTGCCTCTGCCTCCTGTGTGCTGGGATTAACAGCATGCGCCACCACGCCCAACCTATTTATTTTTATGTGTTGGGTGTTCTGCTTGTATAAGTCCACGGGTGTCATGCACTGCCCATGGAGGCCAGAAGAGGGCACCAGATTTCCCCTGGAATGGAATTACTACTGGGTCACCACAAGGGTGCTGGGAACCTGCTGAGAATGGAACCCAGGTCTTCTGCAAGAGTAGCCAGTGTTCTTAACTACTGAGCCACCCTCCAGCCTCTCATCAATGATTTCAAATTCACCAATGTAACTGTGCTTCGCCATCAGTAAGGAAGTAGGCAATAAGGACCTGCCTCTTGCCCCACTTCTCAGCACTATTGATGCTCTTGAGCATGAGCCAGAACACTAATGCTCCCCATGATGGTGGCACAGAAAGATGGCAGGAAGAGAAAACTTCCTATGGTTGGGTTGTTTTAATTTCCTTGAATATGTTGTTTTAATTTTTTTTAAATTATTTCTATTTTATGTGTATGAGTGTACTGCCTGCATATGTGTAAGTGCACCTGTGTCGTGCAGTGCCCCTGGAGGTCAGAAGAGGGCATGAGATCCCCTGGAACTGGAGTTATGGAATGTTGTTAGCCATCATGTGGATGCTGGGAATCTAACTAGGGTCCTCTGCAAGAGCAGTCAGTACTCTTAACTGCTGAGCCACCTCACCAGCCCCAGATGTGGTGATTTAAAATAAATCAAATTGGTGACTTTTTTTTCAGTTTATAGACTTTCATCTCTGGTTTATAAAAGTGTGTTATTTTTGCCCGGTGTGGTAGTGCATGCCTTTAGTCCCAGCATTCCGGAGGCAGAGGCAGGAGGATCTTGATGAGTTCGAGGCCAGCCTGGTCTACATAGTGAGTTCCAGGACAGCTGGAGCTACAGGGAGACCCGGTCTCAAAAAGGCCAATAAAAAGGGGGGGGGGGCTGATGAGATGGCTCAGCAGTTAAGGGCACTGACTGCTCTTGCAGAGGACCTGGGTTCAATTCCCAGCACCCACATGGCGGCTATGAACCATCCTTAACTCCAGTTCCTGAGGAATCCAAAGCCCTCTTCTGACCTCTGCGCCACTGCACAACACAGGTGCACTTACATACTCATACACATAAAATAATATTTTTTTAAAAAAAATTTTAATGTGTATGACTGTTTTACTTGCATGTAAGTGTACCCACACGTGCAATGCCCAGAAGCCAGAAGATGGCATCAGATCCCCTGGAACTGGAGTTATGGAAGGTTGTTAGTGGTCCTGTGGGCGCTGGGAATTAAACCCAGGTCCTCTGCAAGAGCAGCCAGTGCTCATAACCCCTGCGCCATCTCTCCAGCCCCACTCCCTTCAGTGTCTGTCATAATAACTATGTCATTCCTAACTGTAGAAAATACAATCAGACAGACCAGAGCAGGAACTGAGTCTGCCTAACTTGGGTCCCAATAGTGACACAGCCACTTTCTATGTGAACTGGAGTAAGACAATTTCTCATTATGGTTAGAGTATCCAAATGGTAATCACTAGACTAGGTGTCAAAAATGGAGGATTTAGGGTCAGTCAGATGGCTTAGTGAATAAAAAGTGCTTGCTGCCAAGCCTGAAGGCTAGAGTTCAAATCCCCAAGACCCACATGGTGGAAGGAAAGAACTAATGCACACAATAATAAATATAATTTAAAAAATTATAAGGGGCTGGAGAGACAGTTCAGTGATTAATAATATGTACTGATGGGGCAGGAGAGATGGTTCAGTGGTTAAGAACACTGGTTGTTCTTGCAGAAGACCCAGCTTCAAATCCCAGCACCCAAATGGCAGCTAACAACTGTTGGTAACTCCAGTTCCAGGGGATCCAACAGCCTCTTCTGTCCTCCGAGGGCATTGCATGACACAGGTGCACTTACCTACAATGCAGGCAATACACGCATACTCATAAAATAAATATATATATATATATTAAAAAAAATATGTACTGTTTTTGCAGAGGATCCAAGTTCAATCCCCAGCACCTATGTCAGGCAGCTCACAACTGCCTGCAACTCCAGTTCCGGGGGACTTGATGCTTCTGATCTTCAAGGGCACCTGCATTCATGTGCACATCCTCATATGACACACATAATTAAAAATAATTTTAGGGCTAGAGATGGCTCAGTGGCTAGGAGCAGTGACTACTCTTGCAGAGGACCTATGTTTGGTTCCCAGCACCTACAACCATCTGTAACTCCAGTTCCAGGAGACCCTCTTATGGCCTCCTCTGGCACTGCCCACATGTGGTACACTCACGTACATGCAGGTAGAACACTCATGCACATAAAAATAAATTTTAAAAATAATCATTTTGGCCGGGCGTGGTGGCACATGCCTTTAATACCTGCACTCAGGAGACAGAGGCAGGCGGATCTCTGTGAGTTCCAGGCCAGCCTGGTCTCCATGGTGAATACAGGACAGCTGGGGCTACAGGGAGACCCTGTCTCAAAAACACCAAAAAAAAAAAAAAAAAAAAATCATCTTAAATGTGGATTTTTTTGTGTGCTGATTTTCTTTCTGGTTTTTAGTAAATTCAGTACAAATCCATTCTCATCGATCACAATGCATCCCTTGAAAGGATAGCAAAAGCTAAAGAAAAAAAGGAAGAAAGAAAATGTATCACACAAAAATATTTGGTACATCACAAATGCAGCATAACAGCTATGTATTCAAAAGCCGACTTAACTCTTGCAACACCCCTGTAAGGCCGAAGGCATCTGCAGGCGCGTAAGGGAATAAGGGCAGGACAGTCTAATTCGGCTCTGTGCAGTCATGTAAGTTGGTACAGCTCGACCACAGGCGCTGGGCTCCCTTCTCCAGTAATCAAAGCATTCTCTAGGGACCCCACTATCTAGCAAACACCTCAGCGTGCAAACTGACAGCAGCCATTTCTTAGAAAACAGTTCGAAGAACTATTCCCAGCAGTGAGAGGCGACCCCGGGTCCCGCCCTCTGTGCGGGGTACCGAGCGCGGGACAGGGGTGGAGGACGGGTTCCCCGCGGCCGCTCCCGCTCACCGTGCACCTCCTTGCCGGTGGGCCCGAGCCGGCAGTGCGGCCTGGCGGCTCGCCTCAGTCGCCCTGCGGGGATCTTGCAACGCAGCTCGTCGCGGGGCTCGGCGTCCTGCTGCCACAGCACATGAAGGTAGCGCAGCGGAGACTGGGCCCCCGAGAGGCCGGGGAGGCCCGCGCCGCCGCCCAGCGCCGCCCCCAGGTCCGCGAAGGAGAACAAGCCCCCGGCTTCCGTCAGCGGCTCCGGCGCCACCGCGCACTCGCCGTCCGAGCTCGAACGGCCGGAGCGCGACTCGTCGTCCGCGCCCCCGGCGGCGGCTGCCATGGCAACGGCTCGGCGCGGGCCTGGTAACAGCAGCCTTGTTCTAGACCGACCAACGGGACCCCTTTCTCTCCTCAGGAAGCCTCGCTGTCAGAGAGCAGGCGGGAGGGCCGGACCTGCAACCACGGCAACAGTGTGGGGGAGGGCCCGGAGCGGCTGACCAATGAGAGCTCTCCCTGCCTGCCGCTCACAGCCAATCGGGCGAGGACGGCAGAGGACGAGCTAGAAAACTGGACAGGGCTTCCGGCAGCTTGACTGGCGGGCGTATTAGCCAATCACAAATCAGAAATGGCTACAGCCGTCGGCGAGCGTCACTGCCGAAGCCAATGAAATCACTGAGTTTAGGACATGGTGGGGGGGGGTTGTTTTGTTTTGTTTTGTTTTTTTCTTCTTCCCTTTCTTCCCGCCGGATCATGGGAAAAACGTGGAGCAAGTGCTTCAGCCAATTGCGTTGAGATGTTTCCTGCAGCCAATCGGGAAGGAAAGTGAAGAAACCACACTAAGCATGGTATAACAGTACTTTCAATCAGTGAACAGAAAAAGAAATCTTGCCATAAAATGCACGAGGAAATAGCTGTTAAGACCTAGAGATATCACCACAAATTTGGCAGCGGTAGCTTCCTCAATATATTTCGTTTTCTTAGCACCACGGTGATAACTAATTTAACGAAGAATTATCATTCAACGTAATTTTACTAGCGCAATCCTTCAGGACGGAGATGGACGCAGTTATTGCTCAAAAATCGATTTCTAGTGTGACGATATCTATATCTATCTTTAGAGAAAGGGAGGGAGGGAGGAGAGGAGGGAAGGAGGGAGGAGATGTTTTTTGAGACAGGGCCTCCCAGTAGCCCCAGCTGGCCTGAACTCGCTATATAAACCAGGCTGGCTTCGATCTCACTCACAGAGATCCAACTGCCTCTGCCTCCCAAATGCTGGGACTAAAGGCGTGTGCTACCATGCCCGGCCACGATAATTTTTAAAAAATATTTTATTATTTTTATTTTATGTGTACGAGTATATTGCCTGCATGTATGTGAATGCACCCCTGTCGTGCAATGGCGCGGGGATCAGAAGAGGGCTTCGGATTCCCCTGGAACTGGAGTTAAGGGTGGTTCTTAGCTGCCATGTGGGTGCTGGGAATTGAACCCGGGTCCTCTGGAAGAGCAGTCAGTGCTCTTAATCGCTGAGCCATCTTTCCAGCCCCCATGATAATTTTTTCAAAATTTATTCGTATACCATGTGTATCTGTATCCGTGTATACCATGTGTCTATAGGTACCTGTGAGCCAGAAAAAGTATTGGATTCCCTTGGAACTGGAGGTATAGGTGCTTGTGAGCCTCCTGACATGGGTGCTACGTACTGAATTCAGGTCCTCTGAAAGAGCAAGTACTCTTAACCACTGAGACAGCTGTCCAGCCCCAAATCCCCACATAAGCATTGTGCTTTTTTTTTTTTTTTTTTTTAAAGATAGGATCTCATGCAGTCCTGGCCTCAACTCACTATGTAACTAAGGATGATCTTGAACTTCTGGATCTCCTGGGCCCACCTCCCAAGTGCTGAGATTGCAGACATGTGCTTTTTATCTGTATTGGGGATAGAACACAGAACTTCATACATGCTAGACAGCTCAGAGTGGGTTTTTTGAGATCTTTTCAAAAAAACAAAAGCTAAAGAAAACAAAACAAAAACTCAGACAAGTAAGTGGATAGTTTACTATTAACTCTTCAATGTCTATAGTGAAAGGAAAAGACACAATTTAAGGTGAGGTCAGGAGACAGCCTGCTCAGTCATTGGCCTTTTTACTATGTGCCTCAGTTTAGATTTTACTTGAAGTATATACCAGAGTGACACTTAAAGCTCTGATGGCTAAAATTCAAGTGCAGTATGGGGTGAGCAGGGCTTCTGAGCTCCAGCTCAGGACCTTGAAACAGACAGGACAGAAGGCCAGCTACAAACAAGCCACTCCCACCCCCACCCCCAGTCCTGGAAAGCAGAGTTTTAAATACATCTGGCTGCAGAGTCCAGACAAGCTGACAATTACAACCAATGCCTTCCCAGGGCCAGAAAATTTCCTACTTCAAACCCCTGGCAAAAGGTCAAGAGAAAATGGCAGTGTTTCAGATGATAAGTCCTCTTTTCCAGGTGCTCTGGCTTGCTCAGTGCCTGCTCCTTTGAAGTCCTGCTTCTGCATCTACAAAGGACTCTTGCAAAATCAAACACCTTGTGATCAGACATCTCATAGTCTAAAATTGGCTTTTGTTTACTGCCTAGAGTTGCCTCTCTAAGCTAACTTAATGTACTGTCAAGCAATGGAGGTAGTCTCAACTCATATGCAACTGTACAAATAGGGGTTAAGAAGGAAGTAAAAAGGCCAGGGCAGCTGTTGGACCAGGACAGAGACAAGGTGGTGAGATGTGAGTGTATAGGAATATTTCTGGAGGTGGAGCCAGCAGTATGTGCAGACCCACTGACTATGGAGTATAAATAAGGCACGGGAGAGGATGGCTGTGGAGGTTTTGATCTGAACAGCCGAAAGACCAAAGTTATCTTTAGCTCAGAAAACTGTAGAAGAAAGTTAAGTTTGGATTTTTTTTTTTTTTTTTGGTCTTTTTGAGACAGGGTCTCCCTGCAGTCCCAGCTGACCTGAACTCATTATGTAGACCAGGCTGACCTTGAACTCACAATGATCTGTGTGTCTCTGCCTCCCTAGTGCTGGGATTAAAGGCGTGTGCCACCACGCCTGGCTTGGAATTTTTAATGCTGGGGATCAAACCCAGAACTTTATACATGCTAGGAAGCACTTTACCACTAAGCTACTGCCCTGCCCTGCCATGTTCATTTCCTTAGACATCCAAGTAGGCAGTCCATGAGTCAGTTTCAGGAATAGGGTCTGAGGTGAAGACAGAGATTGAAGGTTAGTAGCTTATGGAAGGTACTTAAACCTTCTACACTAGATAAGCCACCAGGAAGTTAAAGTAGAAGGGTAGATAGAAAGAAAAAGGACTAGGGGCCAGGTAAGGGTACATACCTTTAATCCCAGCAATTGGAAGGCAGAGGCAGGCAGATCTCTGTAAGATTGTGCCCAGCGTGGTCTATATACTGAGCTCTGTCCAGGGCTACATAATGAGACCCTGTCTAAAAAAGAAGAAAAAAAAAATTTTTTAAGGGACTAAGCTGGGCGTGGTGGCGCACGCCTTTAATCCCAGCATTCGGGAGGCAGAGGCAGGTGGATCTCTGTGAGTTCAAGGCCAGCCTGGTCTACATAGTGAGTTCCAGGGCAGCTGGGGCTACAGGGAGACCCTATCTCAAAAAGACCAAAAAATAAAAAAAATAAATAAAAATTTAAAAAAGGGACTAAGCCCAGGGAGCAGGTGCGTAGAGATAAAGAACCCACAAAGGAAAACATGCTATGTAGACCAGCCTGGTCTTGATCTCACAGAGATCCACCTGGCTCTACTTTCCAAGTGCTGGGATTAAAGGCGAGCACAACCAAGCCAAAAATAAAATATTTTTATTAAACCCTAGCTGTACATCATAAAAAAAAAAAAAGATCATGGTGGCATAAGGAGTTGGGCATGACAATTCTAAATAGGATGTTTTGAATGGAAGGCAGCCGAGCAAACACACCTGTGTCAAGTGACACAGAAAGTCAGGCAATGATCTTGGCTAAACATCCTAATCTAAGGGTAGGTAACTGTGTGTGCCAAAGCCCAGAGGGAGTGTACCTGACCGGGAAAAGCTTGGGGTGTTGTGTGACCAGGAGACATGGAGGCTGGTGAGATTCGCAAATCACCTTGGGTAAGAAGTGGGACATAGATTTCTGCTAGTCTATGTAGATGACAAAAACTAAGCAGCCAAAAAGAGCTCTAGAAATCACACTGGTTTCTGCCTACTTGTTTTATAACCCCAACTTGACCTTGAGGGCTTCCTGCAGTTTACCCAACAGCCTGCGTTCTCCAGACCACCCCACCTGAAACCACAAATGACCCCATTTTTGCCTGTTCCAATCTAAAAGTCCCAAAGTTTGGAGCACCCCATAGTGCTTTCTAACTTCATGAGATCAAACGTCAACTTTCACATCACTAAGTTTAATCTCTATTTTTCTTGATCCAGTGTGCATATGTGTCCTAGAGGAGCTCAGGGCACAACATGCAGGAGTTGTTGGTTATCTTCTTCCATCATCTGGGTCCCAGGATAGAAATAAGGCTGTCTGAACAGGCAGCAAACGCCTTTACCCGCTGAGCAGGGTTTATTTTTTCATTTTGCTTGAGAGGTGTTTCACCTGCATGTAAGTGCAGAGGTGTTGCGAAGTGCAGACGGACGCCAGAAGAGGGCATCGGATCCCATGCAACTGGAGATGGTTGTTAGCCACCATGTGGGTGCTGGGAACTGAACCTGGGTCCTAGTGCTCTTAACTGCTGAGCCATCTCTCCCGTCCAGCACCCCCTCCCAGTTTACTTTTTTGAGAACATTTTACACCTCAGGGAAACCACTTACACCACAATCAAAGGTCAGGTCCCCTACAGCTAGAAGCAGGAAGAGGAAGTCAACCATTTTCTTGAGACAGTGCCTCCCTGCAACCCCAACTAGCCTGGAACTCGCTGCGTATCCTAGGCTGGCCTCCATCTCAGAGATCTGCCTGCCTCTGCCTCCTGAGTGCTGCGATTAAAGGCGTGCCCAGCGCTTCCTTTGTATTTTGATGCTAGACTATATTGGCCTGAAAATCGCTATGTAACCCAGGCTAGCCTCGAACTTGCAGCAATCCTCCTGCCCCGGGACCACCATGTCCGGGCTCCTCGGTCACCCTTCCAACACAGCACGGCCCTACTACTGCACGCCTAACTGAACCACCTCAGTTCCATCCCGGCCGGGGAATGACTTCCGGCTTCCCGGCAGGTTGAGCGGTGCGGAACTTCCGGTCTGGTCAGGCCGGCGCGGAGCGCTCCTTCCGCTCTCTCCCGCCGTGTTTTTGCCCCGCCGCCGACATGTCTTACCCCGCTGACGACTACGAGTCTGAGGTAACGTGGGCGTACGCGCGCGGCGGGCTCAGCGCCGGGATCGGGCTCTGTGGGATCTGTCCTCGGGGAGGGGCGGTGTCCGGATCTGGCTGGAATCTGCCGGCTTCCGCCTGCCCGGCCTGCCTCAGCGCAGCCGGGCTACGGCTCCGCGCGTCCTCCTCTCCATTCTGGACC